TTGACATATCTTCCTCATGCATGAAACACACAGCCATTGTTTAGTATGCTGTTTCATGCCCTCTCCTAGAGTAATTGAGGCAACCCCAACCTATAGTTCATTTTCATATTAACTGTTCCCTAAACAAAAAAAATATGTTGTTGCAAGACTGAACGATGTACAGTACTGTTGATTTTAGATTGCAGAAGCCCCAACCAGCACATTTCTTTTGTGGTTTATGTCCAAAACACTGAAGGACCAAAGTCCGAAAACCACTATTTTAAAAGGCAAAAACGGTACTGAGGAGACGACCAAGAATGTTCTTTAATGAACAGTTTAGGCTATAAATACAGTACTGTATTAATTACTGTACTCTTTGAAACCAGGAAACCGTGAATTTGCTAAGAAAATTTAAGGGGTATCACATCTGAATTACGGCAGTTTGTTCACTCCTCCCGTTAGAGTGTTTCTTTTCATTCAACTCCTGTTACTAGTGTTACTTTTCAGAAATTATACACATAAGGTACAGTGTGGTACAAATATATGGTGATGCCCATATTTTAGCCTTCTACCTCAAAACGCCTGCTGGCATAGATTTTGATTACCAGAAATAGGATCCTTCACTATTTTTATTAACTATTTTTAACTTCTGTTCTTAAGCTCAATAAAAATGAAGATTTACTGGAATTCATTAGAACAGTAATGAAAAGGGCTGCTACATTTTAAATGGCACACTGCATTCAATTTATAATCCATAAATCATCTCCTGAAAAGAAAAAGTTCTTTACTTTCACTTCAAGACCAGAAGCACTAGCTCTGAAAAGAAATACGTTGGTCTACCACCAAAAATCCAATGCTATCTAGGTCATCTAATACTGTAGTTATTCCATTCATAGGTTTTACCCAGAAAATGCACTATTTACAGAGTGATGACACATAAATATTTAGGAGGTTAGACAAGACCAATTTATTAACCTTTTAAGCAATAGAAACCTGCTCTCAATACAAGCACTTGAAAATATTCAGAGACTTCCTCTGAGGGCTACTTCATATATTTTATATAGTAGCAGTAGGCACACATTAAAATTTAGGATGTAGATGCTTTTGCCCTGAAATGTGCAAAGAGACAGCATTCTCCTGTTCCCCAACTCCCTTACACCATGAAAGAATGCCATCATTAGTGTATACGTGGTGGTGATGAGAAGGTGCATCCTCTTCCCGTTACAGAGTTGTATTTAACACAGCAGTATGAACTAGCACAAAAAATTAAGACTGAAAGATTCGAGAACACTGGTTCAGCCCTAGACTAAATTTCACACATGCTGTTAACCAAAATACTGGACCCTCATACAGGCTGTCACTCAAAATACTTAATGGTATTTCTGATTTTAGCAACCGTTGGTGGTATAATCAAGGCTGTGGAAATTTGCCACTTGCTGGCAGACAGGTACAAATGTACACAGGCTTTTCAAATAGTTAAAGACTACTCTGGATAGTAAAGATTCAAGCCCGGGGCAAGGAGCCTATAGGTTTCCTGATATTGTCTGATTCCAATTCTCATCAGCTCCACAGGTTCATCTCCAGATTTAAGCAGCAATAGAATTACAACAACTGACACAGCAGACTTACTCCGCTGGGTCAGTTACATTTACCAGAACTGTATACAACCAGCTTTAATGGCACAGAGACACTGTAGACTTGTTAGCGCCATGCCAGGCACTCTAAAGTGGAAAACAGAATGGCAAAAACTGAAAAGGGGGATCTGGCCCTTAACTGTCTTCATGTTTTTCATGGAATGATGCTTATACAATTTTACATGCACTGAAGAATGCAGTCAGGCAGAAAAACAACACACTGGTCCATTAATTCCCTGGTTCAAAGACCAGGAAGCAAAGCAATTACAGGCGAGAAAGCACACCTCAATGGAATGGATACCAAAAACTTTTATAATGCCCAACAACATACTGTGAAAATAATTCCACTTGGGAAAATAAAATTGACTTGTAAAACAGATACAGTTCTCTTATTTTGAGAAAACCTGCACTTACTATACTGAGGACATACTTTATTAGTTGCTGCTCTAAAAAAGAAAAGGCTTTAAAAAAAAGTCCTCCAGCTACCCAATGGCTTACCTAGGTTAATTTTAGCTAATCTACAGTTGCTGCAAGAACAGAAGCATCCACTTTCTGTTTTACAATCTGCTACTGTTCATTACTCAGGGGTTACCAATAGCCAAATATTCAAATAGGAATATTCTTGTATCAAATTGTGGCTGAAATCTCATAAGATGACTTTAAGGCACTCACATGACTACAGGGTTTAAACAGCCACTACTTCCAAGAAATCCTTTACTCAAAGTGGATAGAAATTTCCTTTTTTGTTCCAGCCAGCACTTTCTCTCTTCCGCAAGTAATAATAATAAAAATAAATAAATAAAAAAGGCAGCAGCTCTACATACGTATTCAGAAGCGATTAGAAACAGATCGCAAGAATACTTTTCCCACAAGACCACATAACCCATATAGGAACAATTATACTTTCTAAAGTATGAAATCAGACCGAAAGGAAATATTTCTGTTCGGATAAAATAGACTGGAAGAAGAAAAAAAGAAGCATTTCCTCTGACTTTTATAAATACAAAACTGTGTGGTATGAAAACTAACGGTACATGGGGTTGACTCCAAATTTGTAATTCTCCTATTTAAACCGGTTGCAGTGGGATATACTTATCATTAATATTTTTCACTTCAATAGTAAAAGTGTTATTTTGAAATACACTCATTTAGGTATTAAAATGGGAGAAGTCTCCAGCTATCTGTTTATTCCCTTTCAGTTCTTAATGACAATCAAGCCAGGGAAGAACTACTCTGGACTCCTCTTGCACCATCTATTATAGGTACTGAAAAATATCAGCTGAGCTTATACAGTATTTGAGAATGCTTCTGCAATGTTTTAAGACACAAGGCTGAATTATGTAAACCTTTAAAATGCAAAATGTTATGTTTATGATTCACCTTTGTTTAAAGAAAAGAAGGGGGAATCAAAATTATTCAACAAATTCTCTGCTTAGGCTGCATTTTCTGGCCATTGCTTCAGCATGGGACCGATGAAGTATATGACAATCTCTGGATATTGACCTGTGCTGTAAAGAGATCATTTGTTTCTAAGTTCAGGAAGATAGGTTTATAGCAATATCAATACTTATTGGGAGCTAAAAAGGAATCACTGCTAACAAACTTTAATGTAGTTTTACAGAACTGTACAGTTTCTCAAAGAAAATGTACCATGGAGATATGTCATCCGTATCAATATTGCTGTAGAAAATATCAATGTGCCAAAACAATTATCAGTTTGATCAAGTAAACCACGTACTCATTTGAGCCATGCAAGCTCTAGTCATAGAGTGGTAGATTTCCCCGTAGAAAACATCATTCATGGATTGGATAACTGCATATTCCTTCAGGATACAATGACACATCCCTGTGCATAGAAAAGTTTCTTTTCTGAGATGATTTTCTCCCCTTTCCACCCCCCTCTGAAATCTTGTGGGAAGCTTTGTTGTCGCATTAATATGCCACTAATTTAATTGTTTACAATCCAGTCTGAAACAGCACAGACAGTCAAAATAGAGGAATGGCCCCAATAGGTGGAGTTTTATCTCAAGGCCACACTGTTGTGGAACAGTTTATCAGAGGACAACGAACACTGGATTTTTTAGCCTTCGCCGAACCACCTTCAAAGCTGCCAGGATGTGCGAAACCAAAAATGTGCCCCCACCTCACATACTGGATCAGTACAGGACCCCCCTCAATCCACCGTGGTCTTCTAAGGAAGGGGACCCCATTGATTTCACAACAGGCACTTCATCAGCTCTGTGACTGCTAGGTTGATCTCACCATATAGCCATACCCTGTTTCCCTGAAAATAAGACAGGGTCTTATATTACTTTTTGCTCCAAAAAAACGCATTACGGCTTATTTTCAGGGGATGCTTTATTTTTTTCATGTACAATCTACGTTTATTCAAATATTGTCCCATCATCTTCTGGTTGCTGCACAATGGTGCAGGGCAGGCTCTCACTTAACTTTGGCTTATTTTTGGGGTAGGGCTTATATTACAAGCATCCTGAAAAATCATACTAGGGCTTATTTTCAGGGAAACAGAGTACCTGCTGGCACATTTTTACAGACATGAATCTTTTAGATTTTTAGAAGTCGATAGCCTTTGTTTACAATGGGACGCAAAATCCTATGCAGAAGCACCTTCCACACAGGAGTATTAGTTGCACACTCACTGAACACGGGTAGTGCACAGCTTAACAAACCCTGACTAGTTTTTAGTTCAAAATCCTATGCAGAAGCACCTTCCACACGGGAGTATTAGTTGTACACTCACTGAATACGGGTAGTGCACAGCTTAACAAACATGTATGAAATTCCTTAACTCACATTAAGTCAACTGTACTGAATTTTTGCTGATGTGACTGCTCCCTTCCCCCAAACCTAGATAATATAATACTGGAAATGTGAACGAAATATTTTGACACCTTGCAATAGGCTTTGCCAGAAATCCTGCTGCTTGGCACCTGGCTGTGGTAATTAATGCTCCATTTTGGAGACAACAGGAAATTACACTCAAAACACACACTGAGCTCCAGGCCCTAGTAAGACCTGCACAGCTAGACATGGCCAAAAAAGGCTGAAAGGAAATTTCTGCAGCAAGATTTTAGTAGCCTAGCAGGGTTTGGACCGCTAAAACTAACATTTTTCAGAGGCTGTATTGCAGAATAATTCAGAACCTCTAAAGAGCGAGGACAAGGGATTCCATAGCCCTCCAGACCTGGCTGAACCACAGCTCCCATGATGCCCGTTTATTGACTAGGCTGGGCGGGAATGACAGAAAAAAACTGAAGTCCACCACTGTCTGGAGAGCCACGAGATTCCACATTCACATTGGAGGATGCCATACAAGAAAAAGCACTAAGTAATTCTTACAAAAAATGGCCAGGTTTCAAACTTGTGGTCTGTATGAGACAGTTTATCATTCTTACAGTTAAAGTTTATAGAAAGATCACACCCTTTCCCCCTTTGGTTCCAGTTGATACAAAAACAGTGTTGTAATAATGCCAGAAAGGTAAGGAATAACTCAGTATTGTGATGCTTTGAGCTTCAGCTGAAATTTGGCAATCCGAGGAGGGCCCCGACAGCTCCAAAATACCCCTGCATTTAAAAGAAGGTTTGCAGAATTCAAGTTTCAGTCACCATATTAAAACACAAAAGCCTTAATTTTTTTAGAATGCAGAGAAATATGTGAAAAATAATCTTTTTGGTCTTTTCCCGTAGAGATATCTGAAAATTAGGTTAATAATAATAACAATAACAACAATAACAACAATAACAACAACAACAACAGCCTCAAGTACTGAAATCCAATGTTGATCCTGTCTAGAGTTGTCTCAACAGAAATCAGTGAGACTGACATTATGTCTAGCAGTCTCATTCATTTCAAAGGGTCTACTCTAAGGAAGATCAATGCTGGTTTTCACCCTCTGTTAATAATCTTGCAGATAAACAATGTCCTAAACCTAACATTGCCTCCAATATTCTGTTGAGTATGGACCACCCAGTACTCTGCTTCTCTGTCTCTCCACTCACATGGCTTCTACCACTAGCCAATCTCCCCTTGGGGAAATTCTTTTTCCGGTTAGTAACGAGCAGACAGGATGGCAGAGAATGGAGACAGAATGGAGGCTTTAATCCCACAATGGTCAACATATTGCAAGAAGTCCAAATGTACTTTGTCCTCCATTTCCAAGCCTCCTGTGTTTAACCACCACTTTTTCCATCTTGCTTTCTTTCAAGAAAATAACAACAACAATGGAACAGCTGCCTAGCATCTCTGAATTAGAAGCTCCGAAACCATCCTCTCTGAAAGCACCCCAAGGTTAAACAGGACACCACTGGCAACTTCTGCACATTTTCCACACTAGCACACTTGTGCTGGATCGAACCAGACTCATGGCTCAGGGCACATAATTCTTTGTGCGACATTGCAGCTTGGAGAAAAATGGCTCAAAGGCTAGGTAGAAGGAGAAGTCCCAGGTGAGCCCTTTATGGTTCTGCAGTGTCTCAGAATGTCTTTCAAAGCAGGGATGGGTTGTGTGGCCATGCAGATGTCACTCATCACTAACTTTACTAGCTAGAACTGATGGGATTTGCAGTCATACAAAAATCAAAGCTTCCCCACCTCGCCAGTAACTTTTCCAAGCTCTACTTCTTCATAAAAATGGGAAGACTTCCCCTTTACATGAAAAATAATGCAATAATTAACATTAAATACTAATATTTAATACATTAGTATATGCAGTAGGAACCCCTATGCTCACAGAGGATCTGTTCCATGATCTACCGTGAATTCCTGAAACTGCAGATAGTAGTGAACCTCCTATACAACGTACAAGGAAGCATGACAAAAGGCCACAAAGAGGCAGAAACAAAGGCCACAAGGCCCACCCCCTTCTATGTTGCATATAAGGTTACAGTAAGCCACAGGTAACTGAGCCGTGGATACTGATCCCGCAGATACGAGGTTCCTACTGTACTATCCATTTATGGCAAGAACCCTATTACTTATGTATGCCAGTGTAAGTGCAACAACATAAATCACAGAGGTGATTTACTGCTAATTAAGGACTTGTCGCTTCTGTTCCTCACTGCATGCCAAGTCATGTGAGGATAATAAGTAGACCCCCTTAATCATCAGAGATGATTAAGGGGGTCTACCAAGTCATCTCTGTGATTGATAATGTTGTATTTACACCAGCATACATAAGCAATATGCTAGTGGCCATTGTTTCTCTGATAATCTCGAAAATTCAAATAAAACTACTCTTCTTCTGAATCAGGAATGAAAAAAAATTGTAAATAACTAAAAACCAAAAGGAATTCAAAAATTCTGACATTTCTATAGAACAGATGGGGTTGTACGTACCTCGTGTTCTAGGAACAATGCCTTCAACTGGCCTTTGGACCAATAATCCAGTGCATAAGCCAAAAGCTTCATTGATAACGTATTCACACGTAAAAAGTTACCAACAAAGACAACACGGTTTATTTTCTGAAGGAAAAAGCAAAAGTTTTCTTCATTGAGATACAATTGCAAACTACACAATTTTTCTATCTGGGATGTAAGAGAAAGACAACCTTGTTCATGTTTATATAGACATTAGTCCACTGTGTTTACTCCAAGTGATGTATGCATAGGATGGCAGCTCTAAGTAACTTTTACAAAATGTTTATTCTGTATGGTATTGACAAAATAAAAAAGGTAAAGGTAAAGGTTCCCTTTGACAATTTTGTCCAGTCGTGTCTGACTCTAGGCGACGGTGCGCATCTCTGTTTCCAATCCATACAGCTAGCGTTTGTCCGCAAACAATCCTCCGTGGCCAGCGTGACTAGACACGGAACACCGTTTACTTTCCCACCGAGGTGGTACCTATTTATCTACTTGCATTTTTGCATGCTCTCACAAATCAAATCAAATCAAATCAAATCAAATCAAATCAAATCAAATCAAATCAAATCAAATCAAATCAAATCAAATCAAATCAAATCAAATCAAATCAAATCAAATCAAATCAAATCAAATCAAATCAAATCAAATCAAATCAAATCAAATCAAATCAAATCAAATCAAATCAAATCAAATCAAATCAAATCAAATCAAATCAAATCAAATCAAATCAAATCAAATCAAATCAAATCAAATCAAATAATAAACAAACAAACAAACAAACAAATATAGACATTAGTCCACTGTGTTTACTCCAAGCGATCTTGCACAGGACGGCAGCACTAAGTAACTTTTACAAAATGTTTATTCTGTATGGTCTTGACAAAATAAAAAAGGTAAAGGTAAAGGTTCCCTTTGACAATTTTGTCCAGTCGTGTCTGACTCTAGGCGACGGTGCGCATCTCTGTTTCCAATCCATACAGCTAGCGTTTGTCCGCAAACAATCCTCCGTGGCCAGCGTGACTAGACACGGAACACCGTTTACTTTCCCACCGAGGTGGTACCTATTTATCTACTTGCATTTTTGCATGCTCTCAAACTGCTAGGTTTGCGGGAGCTGGGACAAGCGACGGGAGCTCACTCCGTCATGTGGATTCGATCTTACGACTGCAGGTCTTCTGACCTTGCAGCACAGAGGCTTCTGCAGTTTAACCCACAGCGCCACTTATACATAATACATATTTTGTCAAAATATCCATGTACCTGGATCTCAGCAGGTATCAGTGTGTATATGTGTGTGAGAGTGTCTGTCTAAAAATGTAACCAATCAAAACAGGTAGTGTTGTAGCAGTCTTCCATAGCTAACTGGAGAGCCCTGCAGAGCCAGAGTCTGGGTGTTTGAATCTCCTCTTTGCCTCATGGGAGAAGAGGCAGCATATGTGGCCTTCGACAAACTACACAGCTCCAGGATGTCTCAAAAGAAGGGACTGGAAAACCACTTCCCAGGACTCTCTACCTAGATGACAATTTTGTCCAGTCGTGTCCGACTCTCTACCTTGAAAAGGATCATGGTAAGTCAGAATTGACGTGACAGCGCGTCATTATAACTCAGTGGTCTTCCACAGCTGCGAGGACTCCTTCCAATCAAGGAGGTTTCCAATCCAGCACAGGAGTGGGAGCGACTTTTGCCAATTGTCCCTCGCCGCTGCCCCCTCCCTTGGTTCCCGAGGTCAGCAGAGGTGCAAAAGGCAACAAGAACTGGCAAAAAGTTGCGCCCCCTTTCTTCCAACTAAGGGGAGGGGGGCATTGTCTTAGTGGAACTCTGCCAAGAAGACTCTTTCGTTGGCAAGAGAAAGGTGCGGCTCCATTTCAAAGTCAACATGAACGCGACAAGAGCTTGGCCTCCCCTCACCCACACCTAAACACTCAGAGGCCTTATACAGGCAGACAGGTAGAAATCAGAAGATGAGTCCCGCCTGCCCAATGCCTCTGCCATAAAATCTGATGTCTTTCCAGCTCCGTGCAAAGACTTTAAAACTGGCCAGGCCTTCCTGTGTGTCTTCTAGCTAATGTTATTCTGGCGTTCCAGCTCCTTTTTCTCCTGATCTGCTTTGATGGGATGGCTTTGTGGACAGAAAAGAGGGCAATACAAGGCCACACAAAGCTATGCCATGTTGTTGTGAGGCTCTCTCCAATGCATGCCTCAGAGACCAAACAATTATAGTTATTATAAGAAAGAGGTGGTTGGCACAGGATAGTTTGTACATGCCAGGGACTGGGCAAGGAGAACTTCTGTAGGGGGAATGCTACAAATCCGTATTTGGATCCAGCAAGCATCAGGCAACCACACCACCACTTCCAGTGAAGCCACACTCAGTGCCTTCATAGCCCTGTACAATGCTGCTTGATCCATATGCAACAAGGCAGCACTGTAAAGAAGCCAAAGGCAGCAAGACATACTCTCTCATGGGTTCTCCTCCTTCTAGCATAGCAGCTATTCAGGAACTGCAGGAAGTCCCACATTTTCAAACAAAAAGACATCTAAAGCAGTTCTCCTCCTTCTAGCATAGCAGCTATTCAAGAACTGCAGGAAATCCCACATTTTCAAACAAAAAGGCATCTAAAGCAGACGCTTAAGAAAGAGAGAGAGAGAGAGAGAGAGAGAAAGAAGAGAGAGAGAGAGAAATGCACTGGGTTTCCTACAGACTCGCTAATGCATAGGTATGCGAATCAAATTATAAAAGAATGTTGCTGTTAAAAAAAACTCCTTCCAAATGGAGGTTCAGCCATCTTGACTGAACTGCAGCTTATCAACTTAATTTTGTTACCATGAGAACATATTTTCAAGACACAATTAAGAGAAAAAAACAGATCCTGTACAACCCATTTCAGAATGTGACAGAACGATCCTCTTTGTTGTCACTGAAGAAATTCACAGACATATGAGAAGGTCCTTGTATTCTATACTCTAGTCTGGATTATTAAAAGCAATTAAGTTTACCTCATTTACTGCACACATGCGTGCTATTGAACCGATGTTATTGGTGATAGTAACCAATGTTGCTCTAGCCAGGTCTTCTTTACTAACAGATTCCCGTTTTTCTTTGTAGATCATATTGCCAAAGCTAGAAAGAGAGAGGTCATAAAATGTTATACAGTTTTTGATTAAGAATACTATTTGCTGAGAGTCTTCTGCATGCCTATAATGCCATTATCAGCAATGAGCAGCAAGGTGGTGGAGAAACACTGAGTTTTATCCAGGCTTGGCCATGCTTAAAAGACTCTAACTACAACACAATTAGACCTCAAAGCAAAAGGATGGGCATCATGACTGATGTAGGTCTTGTTTGATCTAGTGGATCTGCTTAGAATAAATCAGGATGTGATTGGATGCCCTTAGTGTTATTTGTTCTGGTTCCTTTAATTTAGGAATTAATACTCCAGAAGAACCAAAGCTGCCCAAAAGTTCAAATGTTTTATGACAAATGGCACAGAAAGAGCAACTGCCCCATTAGCCCAGAGGCCAAGCCCACCTTTACTGGAGGGTTATAGGGGAGTCCATTAACTCTTCTGGCAGTTTGGAAGGATTACTTTTGTTTAGACTAATTACAGAACTTGGAAAAGAAAGAACGTGTATAATGAGGACAGGGAATATCCTCATATTAAAGTCCCAGGAAAGAACCATCATGGGCACAACAAAAAGTTGCAGACATGGGAGAAGTGAACACAGTTCAGCTCTACAGTACTACAAAAGCATCATACATTACTAAGTATAACAAATAATGGGGGAAAACCCAACCTGGATTTCTTTCTCAGTCCTCTTAAAAGGTAATATTATTAGCATGATCTGTACGTGTGATGCCACCGTTATCATCCAGCACCTACCTAGATGCCACTGCCCAACCTGGCAAGCCGAACCGTTCATAGTCTCCCCCATAAATATCCCGGACAAGCTTGTCAGCGTGAGTGCTGTCCCCTTTAGAGGCCATTTCCAAAGCTTCTTCAAAGCTTTCACATCCAGTCAATAAGCTGCACAAACCAAGGAAGGTCCCACCACCTAGACTGGTGTGAAAGAAAAAAGATATGTAAGTATGGTTTCTAAAATAAACAATATTAGTACAGTAATGTAATTGTTTTGGCTGCCAAAACCACACTTGATGACTTAATACTTATTACATCTATGTAAAGAAATAAAGGTGATGCTAAATTAGGGGCAGACAACTTCTGGCCCTCCAAGTGCTGTTGGGCTGCAGTTCTCACCATCATTCACCACTGACTATCATAAGAACAGCTGGATAGCTGGCTGCGTAGCCAGAGGTTGAGAGTTCAATTCCCCACTGGGCCTCCTTGACAGGGGGTGGACTCAATGGTCCACAGGGTCCCTTCCAGCTCTGCAGATATAGGATGATTATGATTATAACTAGACAGATGTAAACTGCTATTCAACAACATCAGGAGAACCAAAAGAGGACAAACAGGACAACCTAGTCTAGAACCACACTTAGTTCCTCTTGAAGAAGTAGCCATGTTCGTCTGTGCAATGTATCAGTCAGAGGCACAAAACAAAAACAAAAAATGCAAGAGATACAAACACTGTGACCCTTTGAAGTCTTAAATATATTATATATTATGGTATAACACATTAGTAAGCATGGCTAACAACAAGGCCAGTGGAGGTGATGGCATTCCAGTTGAACTATTTAAAATTTTAAGACGACGCTGTTAAGGTGTTACACTCAATATGCCAGCAAGTTTGGAAAACTCAGCACTGGCCATAGGACTGGAAAAGATCAGTCTACATCCCAATCCCAAAGAAGGGCAGTGCCAAAGAATGCTCCAACTACTGTACAACTGCACTCATTTCACACACTAGCAAGGTTATGTTCAAAATCCTCCAAGGTAGGCTTCAGCCGTATGTGGACCGAGGACTCCCAGAAGTACCAGCTGGATTTCAAAAGGGCAGAAGAAGTAGAGACCAAATTGCTAACATGCCCTGGATTATGGAGAAAGCCAGAGAGTTCCAGAAAAACATCTACTTCTGCTTCATTGACTATGCAAAAGCCTTTGACTGTGTGGACCACAGCAAACTATGGCAAGTTCTTAAAGAAATGGGAGCGCCTGACCACCTCATCTATCTCCTGAGAAACCTATACGTGGGACAGAAAGCAACAGTTAGAACTGGATATGGAACAACTGATTGGTTCAAAATTGGGAAAGCAGTATGACAAGGTTGTATATTGTCTCCCTGCTTATTTAACTCATATGCAGAATACAGCATGTGAAAGCCTGGACTGGAGGAATCCCTAGCCGGAATTAAGACTGCTGGAATAAATAACAACCTTCAATACACAGATGATACCACTCTGATGGCAGAAAGTGAGGAGGAATTAAAGAACCTCTTAATGAGGGTGAAAGAGGAGAGTGCAAAAATGGTCTGAAGCTCAACATAAAAAAAAAACTAAGATCATAACCACTGGTCCCATCACCTCCTGGGAAATAGAAGGGGAAGATATGGAGGCAGTGACAGAGTTGGGATCCATATTCATTGCAGATGGGGACAGCAGCCATGAAATTAAAAGACGCCTGCTTCTTGGGAGGAAGGTGATGACAAACCTCAACAGCATCTTAAAAATCAGAGACATCACCTTGCCGACAAAGGTCCGCATAGTCAAAGGTATGATTTTTCCAGCAGCCATGTGTGGAAGTGACAGCTGAACCATAAAGAAAGCTAACTGCCGAAGAATTGATGTTTTTGAATTGTGGTGCTGGAGAAGGCTCTTGGGAGTCCCCTGGACTGCAAGGAGAACAAACATATCCATTCTGAAGGAAATCAACCCGGAGTGCTCACTGGAACGACAGATCCTGAAACTGAGGCTGCAATACTTTGGCCATCTCATGAGAAGAGAAGACTCCCTGGAAAAGACACTGATGTTGGGAAAGTGTGAGGGCAGGAGAAGGGGACGACAGAAGACGAGATGGTTGGACAGTGTCTCCGAAGCTACCAACATGAATTTGACCCAACTCCGGGAGGCAGTGGAAGACAGGAGGGCCTGGCGTGTTCTGGTCCATGGGGTCATGAAGAGGCGGACATGACTTAATGACTAAACAACAACAACAACAATAATAATATATTATCGTGTGAGCTTTCATGGATCATTCTCAACTGTGTCTTCAAGACAAGGGCTGGACTCAATGATCCATAGGGTCCCTTCCATCTCTGCAATTCAAAGAACATTATATTATTAGGTCCACCTCTATAAACAAGAAGGTGCCATAACATTTTTGTCCCTTGCGTTATATTTTTGTTGAAAGTTGAAATTTTATTTCTTAACATAATTTTTTATGGCATTAGAGAGAACGGAATTAGTGGCGGGAAACCACAGGTGGCTTACAAGAAAAATGCAACATTTTCTAAATGTCTGTAAAAATTCACAAAGGAGGTGGATGGCACTACAAGGCCTCTCACTAGAATGTTATTCCTGTTATGTGACGTGAAGTTGCAACCGACTTAAAATGACTTTACAGGGGTTTCAAGATACAGAAACTATTTAAGGAGTGGTTTTACCAGAGCCACCACCCAATGAATTTCCACTGCTGTGACAAGATATAAACTCAGATCCTCTGAGTCCTCATCTATCACTCTGTCCACTTCACTGGCTTTCTAGATGCATCCTAGAGATTGCTGCGGACATTGTTTCTAGTAAGCCCACATATAACGCACTGTTTTATGTCTAGTTGTTGCCACCATATCACAATGCCTCTTGAGGGGCAACATTATTTTAAAAGGAAAAATGCACTGGCTCTATGCAGGCAGAGCAACATTCTGCACCCAACTTGGATTCCAAATGTCAGCTCCAAGTCTTTCGAAACTATTTCAACCCTATGCAGAGCCAATCTTTTCTCTTTTGGAAGGTACATCTTCCAACTTAAGTTGCTGACATGGTGTTTTAAAGGCAACCACAAGGCTCCTGACAACTTTATTTAGGACGTCACTGCAGGTGTGTCTAAGGCAGCAGCTGCTAGCTCTGGGTGGTGCTGGAGGAGGCTCTTGAGAGTCCCCTGGACTGCAAGGAGAACAAACCTATCTATTTTGAAGGAAATCAAGCCTGAGTGCTCACTGGAAGGACAGATCCTAAAGCTGAGGCTCCAGTACTTTGGCCATCTCATGAGAAGAGAAGACTCCTTGGAAAAGACCTTGATGTTAGGAAAGTGTGACAGCAAGAGGAGAAGGGGACGACCGAGGATGAGATGGTTGGACAGTGTCTGCGAAGCAACCAACATGAAACTGACACAACTACGGGAGGCAGTGGAAGATAGGAGGGCCTGGCGTGCTCTGGTCCATGGGGTCACGAAGAGTTGGACACGACTAAACGAACGAACGAACGAACGAAGCTGTACTTACCTTGTCCCAGTTACTCTTTTATAATTGTCTTTGGAATGTACAGCTAAAATACTGACTCCTGAACCAATATTGACAACCAGCAAAGGATAGGGATCATCCAGGTTAAAAGGCATCTTCTGGCATCTTTCAGGTTCTGATGCATTTTCAAAATAGTAGCACTCTGCCTGGCCATTAAAACTGACAGAATCTATATACAACAAGCCTTTGACAAGGCAATCAAGTTCATCCAGTTTGTGCAGCTGAAGGTCTCCAATCTATGAGGAAAGGAAGAAAAAAAATATAGCACAGTATGTTCCATAAACAAACCTTGGCAGATGCCCAAGAAACTTGAATAATGAAACTGAGATAATGCAAGTCTCTACCTTTAATATGAACCTGAAAATCCCTGGCTTCTCCTCAAGACAAAACATCATTAACCATGTTGAACTCACTCATGTGCAAATTAAAAAAACTACAATGTTTGTAAAGCAGCTAAATAAAAACAGAGATGCTTTCCTTAAACAGCAGTTATTATTCTTGCTTCACTACCAAGATTGACAACATTTTAACATAGTATGTTATGTAAGATGCAACTGAACTACCTACTGTGCGAAAATCTTCTTCAAACTTATAGGCACCACCACCAGTGGCACAGAGCACCGTATGCAGTGTTGAGAAGTTTTTATTTCTTCCCATTTGGATAAAAGTAGGCAAATCGTGGGTTGGGAATCGGATAAAGTGCAAATTTCCTTTTCGTCCGAAGAGTATCAAGTCCTTGAGTTCCAGGTGGACATCCCGAATACCAGTAGATCCATAGGCTACATTTGATGTCAGATATTTGCGAATACTCTTCAGACTTTCAACTTCTTCCTGTTCCTCTTCTGCAGTTATATCAATAGGCTCAAAATATGCAAGTTTCACGAGGGTTCCCCCAATGTCCATTCCAAACCAGGGAAAAGCTGCAGAAAAAAAATATATATCAATGTTGGAAGATCATCTATTTATAAGAATTTAACTCTTTGACAGCATTTTAGCATTCTCTTAAACCTCACTGAAATGGTTGAAGAAAACTGCTTGACAATATTGGTGAATTTATTAAGAACTATGGAGCAACTCACACATCCATTATTTTCAGAAGGATGGAAGGAGAGATAGAGCTGGGTATCATCAACCTATTGGTGAGACGAAGCTCCAAAAACACCTGATGACCTCCCCCAACAGCCTCATATATATATTAAATGGCATTGGAGAGATTATTAATCCCTGTGGGATTCCACAATTGACAGTCCATGGAGTGGCCAGGAGGCAGTGGAAGATAGGAGGGCCTGGCGTGCTCTGGTCCATGGGGTCATGGAGAGTCGGACACGACTAAACAACGACGATGGAGCAGCTCACACATCCATTATTTCCATTAGCATGCTTCATGAGGATTCTGCTCACAATGTTAGCTAGCAGAATACTTTTCCCTGAGAACATCCACCCACGCCACCAGATCCTCACAGACCATGCTCCTATGTACTGCCACACAGAGGGAGGCCAGAAAGATTTCCACCAGAAATTGGGCCTTCTCGGTTGTGACACCAGCCGTTTGGAATGGGCTTCAGGTTGAACTGCACCTGGCCCCTCCCTCCCAACCTTTAAGAAACTGATGCTCTTTACTGAAGCTTTTCAAGGCATTGTCTCATGAACGGCTGCTAATCTGTTTTCACCCACCCATCTTCTGCTTTCAATCTTGAGTGGTTTGCTAGCTTTATGATATCTTTGGTTTGATTTACTATAAGTTTTTGTTTGTTTCTCGTATTATATTACTTGTACAGATCTGACTGTTAACTGCCCTGAGTAGTGCTTCACACTAATTGGGCAGTATAAAAACCATCCACTCAAACATCCTCCAGCGCCCCTCTCTTGTTCCACAAGTAGATGGTGAGGAATTTGTACACTTGCAGAAAAATGATGGACTACAATTCCCAGCTTATCTAATTAGAAGGATGATGGGAACTGAAGCGCAGCATCATGTAGAAGGCCACAGCTTCTGGGTTCCTGCTGTAAACAACTGTTTTTTCTACATCAATTTACACAAGTTCCTTCATTTCCTGGAATTACACAATTTTGCAATCCTTAGTCATACCAAGGACCTGAATGTAAGCCTCTTGTTAATATTTCTTCAGAACCAAGCAATAAACTTTGAACCTCACTGGTTTGTGCCAAGAGGTTAACAACAGCTTTTCACCTTGCTGATGAACAACTCACATGTACTTGAAGTAAGGAAATAATTCTGCATGAGTGCATGTGGAAAAGTTGGGATAAACATCAGAAGAACAAACTTAACACTTCCTTGTCAGAAAACAAGCAGTATGGCAGTTCATTCGGTCTATTTCACCATTTTTTAACAACTACTGTAGTTTGCTTCTTTTTAAACAAGCAAAAATCTACGGGATTTTCACTATTTTGGCTGAAATCCCTTTGGCCTAACAAATCTGAGGAAAAAATTATTATTTCTCCAAAAGCAGGTGATTTTCAGTAATTAACCTCTTCCTACTTCTGTCCCACAGCTTTTCCAACTCCCAAATATTTCCATTCATCATATGGGAGCTGTGGGAGCCAGAAGATAGTAGAAGTCTTTTAATTACAGAAATTCTTTCCCTGGCATCATCTGGAACCAATTATTTTCAGTAAAGACTTCCTCCCTCTGTCCTGCTGCTTCCAGGTGTAAAAGCCATAATGCAGGAGTGAAAAAAGTTATGAAACAGCAGTAGGAAATATTTAATTATTGAAAATTGCCTCCTTTTGATGTTATCACCCTTCTGCAAACATTAGTTACCTATCAAAATGTTAACTATGAAAACACAATTTTGATTAAAAGTTTATGTCCAAATGGCTTCTTTCTGATAGCTGTTCATATCCAGTTTTAAAGGTTAAAAAGGAACAAGCTAAAAAAAAGGTCAGGTGATGTCAAAAATCAAGACAGCAGACTTGGCCAGTGCAGAGTTCACCTGAGCACAGTCTCCTCCATTTTGATGAGATTCACTGTATTTGTATAGAAGCTACTGTGATTATTTTACTTATATCTCTCTCTATAAACTGACACATGTCCATTTTAGGTAAATCTGCATCTTTGCTTGAGCTAATATGTAAGTGGCCACTCTATAAAGCAGCTTTCCTCAACCTACTATCCTCCAGACAATTCCTCCTTGAATATGGCCTACACAGGCTGGAGCAGCTAGGGATTATAGGTCAAACACACCTGTACGGCAGAACGTTCAGAATCTTTTGCATTTCAGAATTAATGTCTTTCCAGCATTTCCTTGTCTTTTTGTAAGTCCACCACATGTAGCAGTATAAGCCAAAAAAGAATACAAGTCAAGACAAGAGATGGGGGTATTTGTATTCGTATAGGATTATCTCCAAACAGGTGGTGTTAACGAGGGTCCAGCCCCATGGGGTTGGTCAGTCCACTCGCCGATCCGATTCTACGCTTGCTACTCTTCAACCTTGCAGAAAGGCTTGTCCTCCCGCCTCCTGCCTGGAGTGGCGAACAGACAGTATGCTGCGGCGCCATTCGTAGAATCGCGCCGTCCGTGTCGGATCGGTGAGTGAACCGTCTGGCCCCATGGGGCTGGACCCCCAATGCCACCTGCACAGGGATATTAATATAAAAATACGAATACCCCCAACTATAGTCTTGACTTCTTCCATAACGTTGCACTGTTGTGAGTTACATGCACCAGCATATTATAAGCAATAGGATTTTGGCCCATGTTCATAAGATGCTCTACTGCCTATAAATTTGAGGAATTCCATATGCATTACACGTCCTGTGTCGACCGGTACAGCGTATGACAGCTGAAAGGGAAAGAGTCAATTCCAATTGTTAATCTCAACTTTAATTAGTTATGTACCATCTAGTCAATTTTGGCTTATAGACTGTGTTCTTGTTCTAATTAAATATTGGATTGCTGTTGTTGCTAAGTCTACAGTGGATCCCCCCAAAGCTTATTGTTATACTTGATATTCAGAGGTAAAGCGTGCTTCAATTAAGATTCCTGTTCGGTTTAAACTCCAGAGTTCTACAAATATTGTCTTTCCAGGACCAAAGGGCAAGAGACATGTGCCACATCAACAAGTGTTTGGCAAAACTCTTATAGTGACAATACTGTTCATTGTATGCCATCACTTCTCATTACTAAACTAGTTAAGAGTTATCCTAAAATAAAGTTTTCTATACATTTATTATGTGATTCTCAAACAAGTACAGGAGGGTTAGGCTTTTTTTTTTTTTTAAAGTATTTAAAATCAGTGGGGCTTACTTCCAAGAATGTATGAAGACTCATGGTTACTGAAATGCCAACATTTCAAAAATACTACCTTACTGCTGCATATATTAAAATGTCCTAGTAACTGTGTAGCAACTCCATCAGTTTCAGCTGTAAAACCCTTAGGAATATTTTGCATGATCAGAATTCACCACAGAGCACCATTAAGCCAGTATAGATCACTCATAAGCATGTACTTTTAAAAACTGTTTCCAACTTGCACAGATTTTGGTCAATATGAAAACCCACTGAAGGTAAAGAAACCCCACTATGTAGCAATTCAAATATCATGTGGCTCTTTAAAGGGAAACATGTGGTCACAAGATGTATGATCACACATGTTTCTGTTTCAGAGGGAAGTCTTTTGATTGCAGCATCTCAGCATGTACATAAGGCACACAATATGTATGTGCCAGAATACAGGAACCCATAATGAAACAGAATTTAATATAATCCACTATTACAGGACACACAATTCTGAGATTTTTTTTCCCAAACCACAAATGTTTTCTGCACAAAACATTTATAAAGTATACCCTAGTGTTGACATAAATTATACACCAGCAAACAACTAGACGTTAACAACCACAAAGGCAGGTATCTTTCTCCTCCGAAATATTACTTACAATCCTTCATTCAAACAGAATGCATTTAATCAATTATAATCTGCTTCTAATTTATTTTTTTTTAGAAAAAAAAGGCAGTTTGAAGCCCCATGTTTTACTTTTTGCTATACAGTAGTGAGAAAAGAGTTGCCTGGAGCGCTGAGGTTACCTTTCTAAACTCCGACGCCAAATACACTAGGAAGAAAAACTGGCTGATATTTACTGATAAAACACAGGACCAGCTCCACCCTTTAGCATCTACCACCCGATTTATTTATTTTTTAATTTTAATGTGAAAGAGAAGGCACATTTCTGCATATAAAGCGTGGTGGAGAGAGGTCAAGACGGAGAGAGCCTGGTCAGGAGCAGGAGGAAATCGGGACTTACAAGGTTTCTTGGCATCTTTGATCTTCATGTCTCCACCGCTGAGTTCTGGCGGTGCAACCTGTGCGCTTGGAGCCCCGGTGGAAGCTTGCGTGTCTTAAGGAGGTCTTAGAAGAGGAGGAGGAAGGGGGAAAAAAAAGGAAGAAGCAGGGGTTGCGAAGGCTTGCTCAGAGATGATGATGATGGGCGGCGGCGGCGGCGGCGGCAGCAGCTCTGCCTGGGTCAACCTTGCCCTCGCGCGGTGTTGGGCGCCTGCCTGCCTGCCTGACAAAAACCGGGGCGGAGGAGCGGGGGCGGCGCGGCCTCCTCGAGAGAAAGAAAGCAGGGGTGGGGTGGGGGACAGATTTGAGAAAAGGACAGGGAAAGAAGGGCAAGGGTACCTCCGCCGAGCCGGCCCCACCCACACCCGGCACCGCCCGTCCACCGACTCCCTCCTCCTCCTCCTCCTCCTCTCCTCACGGTGGGCCGTTCGCCAACCCAGGAGGCCAGCACCGGGAGCAGTGAGTGGGGCCTAGGCTCGGCGGCAGCGGCAGCAGCAGCCCAAGGAGGAGTCCACCCGGCCGCCAATGTCTCTTGCGGGATGCCGCAACGCTGCTGGTGCTGGTGGTGGCGGGGCTGGTTGCGGCCGCGCTTCTCCGCCCCAGGCAGAGAAGTGCAAGGGCCTCTGGGAAGCAAGGCCGGCAGAAAAGGCTCCTACAGGCCGCCCTTTTCTCTCTGCTCCCCTCCCTGTCCTACAACTCCCAGAGTGCACCGAGGAGGTCTACCCGTTTCCCGGCTATGTGGTGCTCGAGGAGCATGCCGGGAAGCGTCGTAGTTCCAATGGGCGCAGGGAGCCATATTCTTCGTCTTCCCCGGCTTGCTGAGCGGGGCGGCAATCTCTTCGCTCACTCCTCCTGGCGGTGCAAGGACCACGCCACTTAACACCCCACAGAGACCAGGCCAATGGCGAGCAAGGAAAGGCTTTTCTCCTTCGCCCGCCCCGCTTTCTTCCCTTCGAGGAGGGTCTGGTACACGGAGTGCTACCGTTGCTAAAACTTCCCGGCATCATCACGCCTTCTTCTTCTTCTTGAGTTGTTTGCAAAATCTTCAGATTCCCACGCGTTTAGTACAAAGTTCAATTGGGAGTTAAAGAAAAATATAACAACGATATAACATTTTTTAAATTAAAAAAAAAACTGCAGACATTCTTTGATAATTCTTTTTAACAATGTATATCTCAGTTGTTTAAGCTGAGGATATGGGTAAAATAAAATATTAAATAAAAATTAGGTTTTTTTAAATAAAAAAATTATTTAATAAATTAATATTAATAAATTAAATAAAAATATGGATCCTCGTTATTTCATTCCCCCCCCCCCGCAATCACCAAATCACTTTCAAAGCAGAGATCCCATCTTTGCCCGTAGGCTACACCACAAATCAGATCCTTCACTAGTTCAAGGCATGGATTCTCATGGGTTTACAAAGTTTTATGCAGGATATTCCCCAAACTACTGTGTAATCATAGGTTCAAGCTGTGCCCATAGACTACACTAAAGAAATCATAAGTCCTTTGGTGCATGACTTTGCAGTGGAGGAAAAGGTGCATTGATTTGAGGGCTCATCCTTATAGATTCAGGTATGTATTTTTTTTAATCCATGTGAGATTTACATAGGACCCTCCCCAAAACACTGTCAAATCAGAGTTCCCATCAGTATACACAGACTAAACATAAATCATGGAGCCTTTTAGTGTACGGCTTTATAATGGTGCAAAAACAGGGATCTGTGCCTTGGATTTATGTTTTTTGAACCACTACAGAGCCACCTGCTGAAGGATCCCTAAATTCTATTTTGTAGTCTGTGGGCATAGATGGATCTATGTGGTTTGGCAAAGATTCCACATAAGTATATGAAAGAAGAAAGATCCATGTTTTATTTCATGGATCTACCTTTTAATTTCTTTACACGAATAAAAATATCTCTTTTTTTATTACAGTCTTGGTTCCCCCCCCCCACATTTCCTGAGTTTGGGAACCAATGCATTAAGCGCATTCTAAGTAAAATGTCTACGGCTCTTTAAAAAAATGTCTGCGGCTCTTTAAAAACTAATACATGTACAGTGGTGCCTCGCTTAACGAGCGCACCGTATGACGACAAAATCGCTTACCGATGGGCCCTATGGCTGAAAATCGCTTTACGAAGATCGGTAAGCGTTTCGCTTACCGATCTTCGCAAAACGAACCCCCAACGATCAGCTGTTCGGCGGACAAAAAGGCCGCCGGAAGCTCCGTAATGGCCGCGCGCAGCGTTTTTGCGCCTTCCCCTCGCTTAATGAGGGCGCGAAAATGGCTGACGGCCATAGGAAACCTCGCTGAACGGTGAGTAAAGGAGCCTTTTGGAACACATTAAACGATGTTTAATGCGTTCCAAAGGCTTTCCCTGCCCCGTTCAGCAATGTTTCGCTATAGCGAAGGTTAATCCGGAACGGATTAACCTCGCTATGCGAGGCACCACTGTATTACATGGTAAGGTGCCATGAGTTATAATGGAAGAAGGGCAGAGGAAGAATAGAGTAGGAATACATTTAATGCATTCTCAAAGGCTTTCACGACTGGGATCTGATGGTTGTTGTGGTTTTTTTGGGCTCTTTGGCTGTGTTCTGAAAGTTGTTCTTCCTGACGTTTCGCCAGTCTCTGCTGCCGGCATCTTCAGAGAACAGGAGTAGGAACTCTGTCTGTGCTCTGTTGCAGTTTGTTGGATAGTTGAGTATTTATAGCGGTGGCAACAACTTTTGTCCTTTTCAGGAGACTGGATGATTATGGTAATCAGCGTGTTTTTGTTGGTGGTGTATTGTGATAAGGGGAGAGATCTGTCACTGTGATTGATGGGTGTCCTTAGTTGGTCTTTTGTGTGCAGTTATCACGGGTCCTTGTGACTGGGTAGAGTTCGTTGACCTTTTGCAGGCTGTATTTTTCAGTGCTGGGAGCCAGGCCTTGTTGAGTTTTAAACTTCCTTCTTTTTTGTTGAAGCTCTGCTGGTGTTTATGGATTTCAATGGCTTCCCTGTGCAGTCTAACATAATGATTGCTGGTGTTGTCCAGTACTTCAGTATTTTGAAATAGAATTTAATGTCCAGCTTGTTTTAGGGTATGTTCAGCTACTGCTAATTTTTCTGGTTATTTTAGTCTGCAGTGTCTCTATTTGATTCTGGTTGTCTTACTCTGCAGTGTCTCTATTTGATTCTGGTGTGAATACTGCGTTTTGTGGTTCCAATATATACCTGTCCACAACTGCAAGGTATTCAATAATCTCCGGCCACAGAGACTGGTGAAAGGTCAGGAAGGACAACCTTCAGAACATGGCCAAAGAGCCTAAGAAACCCACAACAACCAATAGGAATACATTTACTTTTTTCTCTTTACCAATTACTTTTATGTATATCTTTCTTCCAATTAATTCAAACCAGGCTCTTTCTCGACATCTTTATTCTCACAACAACACTACAAAAATAGGTAAAGTTGGTTTCGAAATGTCAGCTTTGTTAGTATTTGAAAAGAAGACAAGGCAGTGTGGCACAAAAGCCTATCATGCCTGCCTCCAAGTACTGAGGAGCCATTGCCAATCAGCAGTCACAATACTGGACTAAATGGACTAAAGGCCTGGTTCAGTATAAAATACCTTCCTATATTCCTGTCAAGAGTTAATAGTTCAAGGTCACCTTGTTTCTTTGGCTGTGGAATTTCTCAAGTCCCACTCAAGCACTCTAACCACCTCTTGCATAGCGAGGTGGCCCTTTTCTTATGTTATCTTAGAAATACAGAACTGGAAGGAAACCTATGGATCATTGAGTCCAGCCTGTCAAGGAGGCAGTGGAGAATCAAACTCCCAACCTTCAGCTCCGCAACCAGATACCTAAACCACTTTTCCAAGGACACCAAATTATTCTGGGTGATTAGAATTAAACTAGATCAGGAAGAGGAATGGAAAATGACTTCCTATGTGAGCAAGTATAAAGTACTGTTTATATGAACAAAATACACCATATCTGTATGATTGCTTCTCCTCATCCACTCAGTGGCTTCTCCTTCAAAATGAAAACAGAGGTGTTAAGTGTCATTTTCAAAGTAAGTGCTTGTCAGATTCCACGTAGGAATATCTGAATTGTCTTCACAGGGCTCCTGTCTTCTACAGACTTTTTATTTTATTTTATACAGAAGGAAATTTATTTGTAGTCTCAGAAGATATTGTACCTATCAATTTTTACTTTAATTCCTTCTCCTGGACATCTCTAATTTCTATCACTTAATGGTCCAAAGAAAAGATTCTTATAGTAAACCTAGAGTGATCAAAATTGAAATTACATCAGAATGTCCATTATGTTGGTGAACTCCTGGAATCCGATGCTGCAAGGACATACATGCCCTATGACAGTGTGAGTGGAGGCTGAGAAGTGAGCCGTCCTCGCAGATGCCAGAGAGAGAAGAAAGCAAAGGATGTGTGGTGGGGGAGTTGATTAAATTAGATGAGGAAGAGGGTACAACAAATAAAGCAGTAGAAGTGTTTCTGGCCAAGAGAACCATGGACTGGGGGGAGGGGTTAGGAACTTGGAGATGGGATGAGTGTAGAAAAGAGGAGAGGGAGAAGAGAGGAGGAGACGGGGGTGAGGAGAAAGCGACACAGACGGTGGAAACGGGGCTAGAGAGAAAAAGAGAATCAAACTCCCAACCTTCAGCTCCGCGACCAGATACCTAAACCACTTTTCCAAGGACACCAAATTATTCTGGGTAATTAGAATTAAACTAGATCAGGAAGAGGAATGGAAAATGACTTCCTATGTGAGCAAGTATAAAGTACTGTTTATATGAACAAAATACACCATATCTGTATGATTGCTTCTCCTCATCCACTCAGTGGCTTCTCCTTCAAAATGAAAACAGAGGTGTTAAGTGTCATTTTCAAAGTAAGTGCTTGTCAGATTCCACGTAGGAATATCTGAATTGTCTTCACAGGGCTCCTGTCTTCTACAGACTTTTTATTTTATTTTATACAGAAGGAAATTTATTTGTAGTCTCAGAAGATATTGTACCTATCAATTTTTACTTTAATTCTTTCTCCTGGACATCTCTAATTTCTATCATTTAATGGTCCAAAGAAAAGATTCTTATTTTCTAAAGTTTATCGAGCAAACAAGCAAGCATATAGAAGACTGCATTCTTAGTTTGTAGAGAATAGTATGATTTACTACGGTTGTATTTTCTGTACTTATGGCTGTGAGTGGAGGCTGAGAAGTGAGCCGTCCTCGCAGATGCCAGAGAGAGAAGAAAGCAAAGGATGTGTGGTGGGGGAGTTGATTAAATTAGATGATGAAGAGGGTACAACAAATAAAGCAGTAGAAGTGTTTCTGGCCAAGAGAACCATGGACTGGGGGGAGGGGTTAGGAACTTGGAGATGGGATGAGTGTAGAAAAGAGGAGAGGGAGAAGAGAGGAGGAGACGGGGGTGAGGAGAAAGCGACACAGACGGTGGAAACGGGGCTAGAGAGAAAAAGAATTGCCACGCTGGTAAAGACGTTCCCAAACCTCATGAAAGAGGACGGATTGTTGCCGCTACCTACAGCAACCGATAAACCCCTGGGAGGTGAGCCTCATAAGGAATGGAGACAGGGAGGGGGGTCGAGTTCTTCCCTTACGATGATCAAAGGGACCCCTGGTGGAGTTCAGCCCCTACCTCCCTTGTCTGGAAGGTTCAGCAGTAATCCACCCGTGCTCTCGGACCACTTGCTCAGTACTGAGTGCACCCCTCACCGCTCAGACCAT